CCCCAAAACCCCAAAACCCCAAAACCCCACATGACATTCTTAGTGTTTAAATTCATGAAATCAATAGAAATATAATTCATTTGTTCAAAATATATAACTAAGGACAACTAGGTGTCCCTTCATCTCCTGAAAAATCTGAATCTGCATTTGAGTCTTCATCTTTAATTGTTCCTAATACACCTCCCCCAGATACTTCATTTAAAAAGCCATTATATGCACCTATATTACCTGTATTAATGTTATCTTATTCGATTCCTATTTAACCCTTAGCATTGGTTGGATCAATATTTAAATTGTTTGTTCCATTAAGCGTATTAGCAGGTCCTTGAACCACCTCACTTGTCTTTTCATTTGAATTATTAACAATGGCTTCTATTTCATCAAGAATAGTTTTCATATTATGAGGTTCTACCATGCAATACTCTATAATAGTCTCACAAAATCTGTGACCTATTTGCTGTAGCATATCAGTATTAAAATGTAAATCTGAATATTGACCGAAATCTGATCCACAGAAGGATGCTTCTAACGTAAAACTGTTTGTGATACCTAGCTCCTTCCATACTACTACACGGGCCGTAGATTCTTTAGCCTTTTATACTGCAAATGAGCAATCGCTGAAATTAAATGTTTCTCCCAATTTGTCTAGTAGATAAGGGAATACTCTTTCTTTATATTTGTCATTTTTTCCAGAATTGCCATCTAAATCATTAACTAATAAAATTACACATGAATATATTCTTTTTTCTAGAATGCCCGTGAATATCACAAACAAGAAATACTTCTCTGTCCTCTTGAAATTTCTTTATCATCTATTATTAATCATAAAATATTGGGAATGTACCATCTTTGTACTATGAATTGTTGGATGAACTTTCTTTTAAGGATCTATCCATTATCTATTCAAATCAACTCCTGCTAGTGAGCATCTTGTGTTTCCATTTATAACTCCATCTGGATTTAGCATTGGAACTATTTTGAATACAAAGTTGTCTCTCAATACTCTAGCACCAACACTTGAGCCTACCAAATAATCTATTATCCCTTTCATCATAAATTAGGAACCACTCTCTCCTGGATGAACTCTCGAAGTAATGACAACCCCTTTTCTCTATTTGATTTATTAATAGTCCGCATCTGAGGCTTAGGTTCCTGGATTAGGAAAAGTTGTTATTATCAATAGATCAACTGGATTACCAGCTAGAGTTTAGCACATTGTTTTTCTTCTAAATCTTAACTTTTTATGAGGATCATTTTCAATTGAGTTTAGATATCTTTGAAGGTCAGAATAGGTATAAGGGTAACAATGAGCTAGATAAATAGTATCATTGTCGTAGGGAAACTTAACGCTAAAGGTTAGTGTATAGTAATGTCCAACAGTTTTTCTTTTCATTGAGTTTTAATAGTAGCAAACATCTTTTCCATTTCTGAACCAGCCTTTCCCATACTTTTTAGCCTAGATCTCTGAATACATTAAAGGTCTCATTCCATGGTTATATAAACTATCTGGCTTCAATAAGTTTATTATGTTGAATCGATATGTTCTTCCAGCTCTCATATTCTAAACTCTGAAGTAATACCATTAAGTGTTTCCACGAGTATTGTAATCAGGCTTAAGAATAAGATCATACTCAAACTCATATACTTAAATAGCTCTTCTCAAATTTCCAGATTCAAATCTTGACTCAAAAACTAATGTGTAATCGTCAGGGGATTTAGGAGTGTAATACTAAGTTAAATTAGCATCATTATCGCATTAATTTGGGTTGTTGGGTTGTGCATTATTCAAAAGTATATTATCAACTTAATCATCACAATCTTGACCATTATTAATTTGATCATCATTTATTGGATTTTACTGGGAACTAATTTACTAATTACTTTAGGTCTCTTGATTCGACATTTAGTTAGGGGATGGGTCGACAGAATCATAAACTACTCTATTCATCAAGTTTTCTTAATGTGCCACTCGTTCAGCTTCTCTTCTGAGACATTCCTCCAATATATTATCCTAAGGAATGTATAGTGGTTCGTATTCAGATGATTCGAGTATGTGTTTTGGCCCGTTTTTCATTAGTTTAACCCCTGTTCCACTAATTATAAGTTGTTTGATATAATTTACGTTTTAACAGGAATGAATTCTTAATCGCTGATATAGCTGCTTAATGGCGTTGCTTCTCTTTTAACACCAAATAGCCTTTATTCCATATCTTTCAAGCTTTCAGCATTATTGCTATCATATTAGTTGTTATTATTATATATCATGAAGCCATTATGTGATCTTTTAGCACCTCCAGTCTGAAAATCTTTACCAATCTCAATTTTGTTATCATAGGAATCATCTGAAATTTAAATAATCAATTGAGAATTTACTGTAATCAAAAAGGTTTTAATTGCATTAGTCATCTTCATCCTTTCTAAAATTTTTCATCAGTATTGTTTAGGGTATTTAAAACCTTACTTAACATCATCTTGCTTGAGGTATTTAGAATCCATTTCAAAATTAAGTGTATTTTAAAATTTAAACAGTAATTCTTATAAATTATTCTAAAATTATTAATGAGCACTTTCTTAACCTAAGGAAGTTACTCTAGCGGATAGAATACTGCAAAATCAAAGCAAACTCCTTAAAATGATCAATAATTGCAGAGTTCTTTGCTCTATGCGCCATTTGTAAAACCAACTGATAAGATAAGAAAAGATGTAGCAGAGCTTAGTTTCTCTGATTTTCAGCCAAAGAGGTTCGCTTTGAGTTATAATCCTCCTGTTATAGGTAACGATCAATATCCTTTAACTAATTCAGTTACTTATCTAATTTATAGTGCTTGAGTATTTGGTACCATCAACAGGAAAGCTCTATCACCATAAGATGAAACTAAGGCAGCTTAATCATGAGAGTGAGCCTTAAGATATGTTAGATTATCTTAAGAAGAGGCATCCTTTGTACTTCATGCCTAATAAGCTGAATCATAAGTAGATTGAGGATTTGATAAAAAAACTCATATTCAAAGTTAAACAACAATATTAGGCTACTGCTGGCAAAGATAAATTAACTGATAAAACATCAAACGTAGTAAATAAAACTGAGACAAAACAGTCCTCATCATCATTGACAGCTTTAGACAAAGCTCCAACATTGAAGCCACAAACTTCATCAAGTATAGCTTAGTAAAACTTGCCCTCGATTGGTGGAGGTGGTTCTACCTCAGCCTTCAAGTCTGGAAGCTCTTTACCATCTATTAGCAATGATGATAAAAAGGGAACTACAAATCTTTACGGGAATAAATAGAAGGAAGACTAAAAGAAATTTGAGGATGACTTTGGTGATGACTTCGAAGATGACTTTGAAGATGAGGAAGAGGATGGAGATGGTGATTTCGATGCAAATGAACTACTCAATCTAACTGACTATCAAAATAAGAGAAAGCAATCACAGCAAATGTCTAGTAACACCAATACAAATAAGTATAATCCGACAGTGGGAAAAGATGGAGCAATTGAAATAAGTAATGATGATGATGAATTTGAAGATGACGGGGATGCTTGGGGAGACGACTGGGGTGAACCAAAACAAAAGAAAATTGATTTCGATAAATTTGATTACTAAAATACAAATCTCAATAAACTATCCACTGAGCAGATAGCTGCTCATAAAAAGAAGATGGATGAGAAGTTCAACAAAAATCTACTAAAACCTGGTGATTCAGGATTTGTCTATGATAAAAGAATAGAATTCACAAAAGGTCCCACAAAGAAAGTGGACACTAGTTGGGATGAAGGAGAAGATGACGTAGATGAATACTTTGACGATGACTTCATGTGATATTAAAAATTGCCTATTTATTATGTTAATTAGCTTAATCCTAAACATCATATTTGCAAAATTAATTTCCATACGGGGTTTTGGGGTTTTGGGGTTTTGGGGTTTTGGGGTTTTGGGGTTTTGGG